GCATGTAGCATCGGTCCTGAAACACACTGCACTCGAAACTGTGGGAAATCCTGGGTCATCGATGAGGCTGTTAGAGCTCTTTCAGTTCTTTAATGTGCAAGGCCTTATGAGAAGACACTGGCTTAATCTCAGCTCAACTGGAAAAATGCCGATGACTGGAAATGTCATCAGCTGCCTGTGGGCCAGGCTGGCCCTGAGCTGATAAGGAGCAACGCAGAATAAAAATGTCAGCACAGAACTGGAGAAACACAGTGGCTGGTTGCAGCTCTTCTCCATCCTGCAGGAAGCAAGGCGCCTCTACTACCAGTTCTTCCAGCGACTGAATTTTTCCTAAAGCCTCAGTGAGAAACTCTGCTCTTTCTTAAAAAGAAGAAAGGTGGCTACTCTCAGTGCTGCAGAGGAAAAAACTAAACTCTTGCCCCATTAACTCAAATGAAGACAGTAAGTAAACCCAACAGTTGTTGCTTTCTTTAAATTTTTAAGGCAAATGTAATGATTTTCTGTGTTGGAACCTTTTTTTTTTTGAAGATGGTAGGGGAACAAGACCCAATCAGAAGGATGCCTGATCCACCTTCCTCCCACCTGGAATATGGGCATTAAGAACACCACCTGGGCACTAGGTTTGGGCAGCAGGTCCTCTCACACCATGCCAAGTGCACACTCAGGACCCCATAGGAACACCAGATGCTGTGGTCTTTGGGCAAAGAATAATGCCAGCAGTAACTATCTAACCTTCCCTCTGTGGTGGGAGGGACATGTTAATCCTCCATGGGGAATGGGGCGATTTCAGGAGCAGAGCAGTGTCTAAAAATGTCACCTGGTCCTTGAGTCTGTCTGCATCCCTTCTCCAAGTTTACAGAGAAAATAAAATCTAAAGAAGTCTAGGGAACTATACTTGTACAGCCAACAGATTGTAAGTAACTTATGAACTCGTAAAAGCAACATGTGAACTTTTTCATCAGTGTTTTAGTGCGGAATCTTTGAGGGAGAGGTAAGAGCCAGAGAGAATAGAGGAAAAGTGCGATTTAGAAAGCCTGCAGCTGGTATCAGTGCTGGCTTTATGCCACTGAAGCACTAGGGCTTGGAAAGAGGGGAATATGTGCACGTTCCTTGCCCCATTGGATTCCTTGGCCAAACTGACCCTGGGACTTGCTTGCTCTGCCCAAGGCATCTGGGCCTTCTGGGCATCATGTCTTCTGGGTTGGTCTCCTCACACTTTCCCACACTAGCCCATATGCCTGCTCTGCCCTGCAAAGCCCTGTGGGCTGCGCTGTGCATCGTGCGCATCTGCCCAAAGGTACGTGAGTCTTTGTGGATGGTCCTTTAGAGACCATTGCTTCTGGGGCCGGGTGTGTGGGGACAGCCCTTTGCCAAGTTCCCCCAGCTCGCTTTTTTGGCAGCACGGGCTCTCTTGACTGTCATTATGGGCTCGTCTTAGAGATTAAACCCCCGAACCCTCTGCCTAGCTCTAGTCTCCTGTGCATAGACACAGGCCCCGTGGGCAGCCAGGCGGCGGAGAGTTCTGAGCGAAGGCTGTCAGAGCCCGGCAGCAGCGGTGTCCCGCTGCCCGGGGCTCGGCCCGGCCCCGCTAGGTGGAGCTCGGGGCTCAAGCACCGAGCGGGCTCCGCGCTCCGCCCGCTCTGCCGCGCTGGGGCCGCCCGCGCCGGGGACAGCCCCGGCCCCAGGGCCGGCACGGCCAGGGCGAGCGGGAGGGCACCAGCGAGCATCAAGGCTGTGACCTGCACTGTCCAGCTGAACCCAGCAGTCCCCCCGCGCTGCGGAGCTGGAAGTGGCAGCGCGGGGCTGGGGGCAGTCACGGAGGAGCGGGCAGAGGACGGGTGTTAGGATGTAAGGGGTAATGATGTGGTGGTAAAGGTCAGCGTGGCAAATGTCACCCTCGCTGTCAGCCACCGCCACGTGGCTTTGAAGCACTGCGGCAGAGATGGGCTTTAAGCTCCTTAAAGATGCGGTGGCGCAGGGAGAGGTGGCCTGGCAGGCACTGAGCTCCTGATGTGCGGATATAGGAGTCAAGAGAAAAGCTTTGCTAGAATGCTTGCTTTTTGAATGGGTAATTTAATCAGTGACATTAAGACCTTCCAATTATTTCTTGCCATGGGTACGGCCTATTTATTAATTTACTTCATATAAATCCATCAAGCAGTTGTCACACAGCAAGTAAACAAAAGCACCCCATAGTTTTGTTGGGAAGGCATAAAAGTAATCGAAAGAGGTTAATTGTCACTGCTAATTAATTGTTTTGCAGATTTGGTTGTGCATAGCATCCCCTGCTGCCCTTGGTGCTGGGAAAGCCAGGAGTGATGGCAGCAGCAGGGGCAGCAGACAGGGTGCCATTGGCAGGGAAGTTGTGGAGGGATGATGGTCAGGAATCAGCATGTCCAGTCTGGGACAAGGAAGTTTTGTGAAAGCCTCTGGACACCATGGGTGTGACCAACAGCGTGTTTCCTTACCTTCCAGAGTGATTTGCTTAATCAGCCTTGGCTTCCTGCTCAATCAAGCCTGCTCCTTTGGTGGGGAAGCTGGCCTGAGGGGCTGACAGGGGCTGCCCTGGGAGAGAAGGAGGTTCAGAGGCTGGAAAACTTTCCCTGGAGGGAGCCATGAAGGAAGTTTAAACTAATTTAGCATAACAAAGGAAAGGTTAAGAGGTGACTTGGATCATCATCTCTAAATACTTATTTAAGAATGAGACTTCTGGGAGCAGAGAGCTGTTTAATTTGGAGGACAAAGGCATAATAATATACAATGCCTGAAAGATGAAGACAGGTAAAATGGGGTGACTCCCTTGTTAAGATTACCTACTAATGTCCTTAGGGATGGTAGTTTCCATCCTTTGATATCTTCAAATCCAGATTGAAGATCTTTCTAAAAGACAAGCCTGGGGTCAGACAGAAATTATGGACTTGTGTTTCTGTGCCCTGTGTCTTGCAGGAGTTCATATTAAATGCTTTTATCTGATCCTTTAGCCTTCAGATCTGTACATCTCCCTGCAATAGCTAACAGCTGCCACAAATCTGCTAAATCCATCTGGTAGTTTGCAGATGACCATGACGTGATGCACTTTGTGTCTGCCTCACCCCAAAATGCAGTCCTGATGTACAACTGGGACCTCTGTGCCATTGCAGACTGCAGAGCCCCCTAGTAGCCCCCCTTTCCCTCAAATGGATTTCAGTGGTGCAGCATTTTCCTATGCTATTTTTTTTTGTCCAGGAAATGGCTGAAAACTTGTTGCTACACATTCTAATGAAAGCATGTTTTGTGGTCCAGGCTGTGCTGTTTGCTGAGGGCTACTATAGTATCCATCATCTGCAGAGGCCATAGGACTTTATTTCTGCTGAGGTCTGGCCACTCTGACAGTCACTGAAATAGTGGTAACTGATACCTGCTTTTACAGAAAACTTTACAGTTTGGGAGAAGGAGTCTTCACTTGCCCCCCCCCCCCCCCAAGTGTTTGCTTTTCTGTTGGGCAAGTCCAAATTTGCCTGATAGGGGCATGAACCTAAAGCTCTCAGTGTCCAAATCCATCTGATTTAAGGCTGCTTCATGGTTTGAATTTTTTCTCCATGGAGTCCTTGAGTTGTTCAGCTGAGCATTGTGTTAATGCTGGGCTTTGAATTTGCTATTCCTCCCTTGAATCGCTATGCTCTGTTGCCCAACCGTGCGGTAGTTCCTCAGCTGATGTAAATCAGTTTAGCTCCACTGCCTTCACTCCTCTGTCACGTAGCCAGGCTTACACTGTCTCCCCACAGCCCAGAGCCCTGAGGCAGCCACCTCAGCAACCTCACTTGGCCCCATAGAAAGGTGAGGCTTAGCTGGAGTTCCAATTAAAGCCCAGTCTGCTGGGGCAGAGCTTTGGTGGAGAGGTGTTCTTGTCATCTCAGTCCTGTGACCAGGACTGGACTCTCATATCTCCCACTCCATAGAACAGGCAGATGAAGTGTTGCTTGGGTGCTCGTGGTGTGGAGGATCCAACCTGGTGAATGTTGCTATAAGCAATACGTCAGAAGGGAGTGTCTCTGTGCTAGGTCCTTGACTTCAGCAGGCTTCCTGGTAGATTCGGACTTCCAGCATGACTCAGGGTATTGCAGTGAATCTTCAAGATAACATCTTTTGCTTGCCAACATATAGGCTGGCTGCCAAAGGTGGGGGAGGAGATCTGTTGTGAGTCTTTAGTATGTGCTCATAGTAAATAGATACACGCCAAATTGATTACACTTGCCTTTCTATTTCTCCACTAGGAACTGAAGGAAGGGAAGAAGTAGTCCCCTGTGGTCGGCCCCAAACCGCTACCTCATGCCACTTGGTTTCTCAGGTGCCTGTAGCAGCCTACTGCTGCTGCAGCCAGCACACACCCCAGAAACAGCAGTGCTGGGATCCAGTTTTTGCAGTGTGGATCAAAACCTGCTGACCCGCTGACCAGGATGCTTTCCCACTTTGTGTCTGAACACACTGCTGGGTGAGAGAGGTGCAGGTGTCCTGGGTGACAGGTGAAGGGAACCAGAATGCAGCAAGGCAAAGTGACATGGGGTGCTCCTGGCTGGGGTCAGAGCTGCCTGATTCAGCTCTCATCTGCAGAGCATCGGTTTTGATCGACTGCCTCATTGCCAAACCACTTATTTTTCCAGTTTAAACGCTTAATGCAATAGCTGTATTTCAAAGTCCGCCAGCTGAGCTGCCTCTGCTTAGGACTATCATTTCCAACTGCTCTCTGGCAAGACGATTTCTCAAATGATTTAAAAAAAAAATAATCAAAGTTGTAATCACATCTGTGGCTGCCTTTGTCTATGGGAGCAGGGAAAATTAGCTCAGAGGCCATCAGGTGCTTTCTGAAATGGAAGTCTTCTCCTGCAGATGGCACAGCTCCTGGCGGTGGAAAGACCAGCCACTAATGTGGCTCTTGCTGAGATTCTGGCACTGGTGTTCCATGGCTGAGTGAAAAGAGCAGCCTAAAACCCACCTGATTTAGGCCGTTATCCTAAATCAGCTATGGATTCTCTTCACGCAACCATCCAGCTGTCCTGATGCATTGGCAGGCTGACCCGGTAAGGAGATCTATAGTATTAGTGAGGGGTTTTACTTAAATGCTTCTCTTTTCCTTTTAGTTCTTCCTAGACTGCAGTATTGGTCTGCAACCCTTTCCTAGCCCGGCTGGCAGAGGAAGCAGCAACACAAATTTTTGCTTCCATGGAAGAGACTGGCTAAGGTACAGAGCAAACTGGGAGCATTTGACATACCAATGAGGCTCCACTGGTTTACTGCAGCTGAGGCTGTGTTCTTGTCATCTCTAGGAAAAGTTGATTAGGTTCAGTGGATTGCTGACTTCTTTTATGAAGAAGCTGTAAAAAGTTCTTTTCTTCTGCTAGTGCTATTCTCCAGGGAGTTGTTGGCAGAGAGAGGCGAGTGTCTCAGCAATAATATATTTCAAAGTTATTATGCCAGCAGAAAAGAAACACAAGGATTTGAACTCGGTAATATAAATTTTTTTATGACAGGACAGAACACTAAAGGGCCTCCCTCCCGCTGTGCAGACCTCCCTGGTTCTGCAGGGCTCCTGGCTGGCTGCCCTGTAGGGCGATGGTGGCTGCAACTGGGACCCTGTTCCAGGCCTAATCCTGGGGGAGGGTTCTGCCACCGAGTTGGCTCCCATGCTGGCTGGGAAAGATGGCAGTTTGGATGGAACTTGTCTGGCCCTTGGGCATGTCCCTTCTTCTGGTTGTGGACAGATGGGGGCCCTTCTCCCTCCTCCCATCAGTCACAGTGATGCATTCAGGTGCCACCGAGCCCAAATCTTTGTGCTGCTGTGGTAATGCTAGGGCTTCCACATAGGAAATGAGTGAAATATCAGCTGAGACCTCTTCTTTTTGTAATGATTAACCTTCCACTAATGATTTGATATAATATTGGGCGACACTGAGTGCTGAGATATTGATGTTTAATGTGTTCTGAAGCAAAGGCTCAGGAAGCAATAAAGATTACTCCAGCTAATGTGTGAGGGCCAGGCTGTCCCTGGGCTCTGTGCTTGCTGATGGCCTGACATGTTTGCCGTGGTGTGGCAGCATCGCCTAACAGAAGCTGAATTTCTGGCTAATAATTTAATTAAGACTTTGCTGTATTTCCAGTTTCTGGAAAAAGCCATGATTCTTTTCTGTTATGTGTTATAAAATCAGCCCTTCATACTCCATGGAGCCAGGGAAGAGCACCTCATACCTCTCTTTTGGCTCCTGATCAGTCTTGCAACAAAGCCTGCCTGCCCCACAGCAACATATTAGGCCACACAGAGGTGCTGCCCACGGGGCTGGGAGGTGGCTCCCAAATGGAGGAGAGTAGCAGAGGCAGAGCACCTCACTGGGGCACTTACCCAGCCCCAAGACCCTCCATACCCTGCACACTGCTGAGGTAGATGGAGCTGGCACAGGCTGACACCACAAATAAGAAGGCGTGGGAGGAAAACTTGGAAGGACAAATTACTGTGAGTATTGATTCCCCCGACTGCTTGCAGAGGGATTTCATTTAGCAACACTGCCAATGACATTATGTGCAGCATCTTGTCCATGGCTGGTTCCATGGCATTAAGAGAATTACTTTGGTCTAATGAATAGGAATAAGAATATTTCAACCTCCTCCCTGGAAAGTAATGGTGGATCATCAAGTGTGCAGCCAAGTTCAGGTCTAGTCACTTGCCAAGTGAATGCAAATGACAGGTTGTTTTATTTAATGGAGGCCATGGTGTGTTGGCCAAAACTGCTGTCTCTTTTCTCTGTGGATTGGTTTCTCCCCCCTCTCTTGTAAATCAGACTTTGTCTCTACTCCTGATTGGCTTTTTTTTTTTTTTAAGCAGAAGAAATTTTTGCTGACTCTTGCACTGAAATCTGTCTCTAGATTGAACCAGAACTCCTCTATCAGCTGTATTTTATGCTGTGCTATGGGAAGAGGCAGAAGAAGCTGGTGTGCTGGTAGTGGTGATTGCCAGACTACAGTGGGGCCACAGCTCCCTGTCTCCAGCTCGGAGCTGGTGAGATGCTCCATCAATGTCACTGCTGCCCCATTTCACTGAGACCAAGGGGACATTGTGGAGCCCCATACTCTGGCACTGGGCCTTTTGCTGGCATGGTGGCATGGGAGCACCTGAGCTGTGCTGCACTGGGGTTTGTACAGACCACTCATCACTCTTGCAGGGCACAAACACCCCTGCTGTCAGCTGCCATTCAGCGGGGCACCCACCAACTGCTCCCCTCCAAAGCCTTCCTCCTCTGGCACAGCTTGTGGAGGTGCTGCTTCCCTCAGCCGCTAATGTTGACAAGAGGTTTGCAGGGGTGAAGTCCCTGCGAAGGACCAGCCTCTCATCTGCTGTGCATGCACCCAGCCCAAATGTCAGGCGGGTGCACTGAGCTGCAGGGTCCGGGTGGTGCTAAAGCCAGGCTGCACCCCCAGCCCAGCACAGGGTTCAGCAAACTGAGGCCAGGGGTGCTACAGACGGGGGGAGTCCCATCCCATTAGGGTCTGGATTTAGTGCTACAAATGCAGTGACTTATTAAACTCTTCAAACACAGGCTGTGCCTCACCATGGCTCACAAATTAGATCAGCATGAAACCAAATCGTGAACTAATATTTTCAGATGGGACGTGATGTTCTGCTTCATACAACAGTGACGATTTGCAATGGCTGAGGGTGGGCCTTTTCCCTGTTCTTTTGTAAAAAACCCGAAAGTGTTTGCAAAGTAAATTCTGATATTTTGTCTGCAGACCAGTCACCTTTCAAATGAAATAGCTGTGACTGCTCACTGGCAGTTAATTCTTGCATGGAGGTTTTTGCTTAAAGAGCTGGAGGGAGGTGGGATTTTTGCTTATTTATTCAGAATCAGGGTTCTGTCCTAATTAATTTTTTAGTTGACAGGAAGAACAGGTTTCTGCTTTGTTTTGCCAAGTGTTTTGATGTATGAGCAGAGATGTCGCACGGGATGTGTGTTTGCAAAAGAGGCTGATGGGAAAGATCAAAACTGATTTGTTATGTTTGCAGAGAAAGAGGCTCCATATCCGTGAAACAGAGCAGGGAGTGACTGAAGGCCCAAGACGTCAGCATTTTGAAGCCGGAATTTTGGCTGTAAGGTGGTGACCAAAGTCCTGTTGACTTTGTGGAAACCGTGATTTCATGCCAGCTGTCTGTCACATCCTGGTGCTCCCCCTCCAGTCCCAATCTCCGACCTCCCCTGGACACAGTAACTCACAGATCTGGGCTCTTCACCTGTGGGATGAGCCCCAAAGGCTTCTCCTCCTCCAAGGCTGAGCACATCAGGAGCTGCTGAGTGATTTGGGAATGACCTGGGCTGGGAGAGATGCTAGACAGGTCTCTGACCATTTACAAACAAGCTGCAAAATTGCACTCACAATAGGGCTGCAGAGCTGCCTTTTGACTGGAACCATGCCTGGAAAATGTATTTCCCAAGTGGGACTTCAGCCATTACAAAACCCTGACTGATGTGGTCGAAGAACATGGCAAACACATGACTCGTTACCACGATCCCCCAAACTGGATCCTCCTAATGTGCTTGTTTAACCCCCTCTGACACCACGCAGAAGCTTCTGGCTATGAATGTTGCCAGTGTCAGCCCTTCCTGGTGCAAACCCTCCATCCCCACAGGCACAGGCAGATGGGAGCATCCTGGAGGAGAGCTGGCCTGGCTGCTGGGAAAGCAGCAGCAGAGAGCATGGGAACAGGCGAGGAGCTGGCTGTGCGGCTCCCACAGAGCCTGGGAGCAAGTGCTTGCTGTAAGGACCGTGTCACCAATGCTGCATGGGGTGGGCCAGGGGATTGTCACCTCTTTCCTGACACCTCACTGCTTCTGAAGGCAGTTGTTCTCCCCGGTTCTCTTTCTGCTGCCTAATTGTTTGCTCGCAGCTTTTGTCCTTCATGGCAAGCCACTGCCAGAGTGGGTGGGCTGTGGTGTGGGATCTATGCTGGGATGGATAGGGGTAGGATAGCAGCCCTATTTGGGCTCCATGGCCAAAACCTATGCTTTATGGGCATGGTATCATGGCTTTGGGGACCCTGAAGGGCATGGACACCATGGGAGGAGCTCCCTTTTTACCTTGCTTCTTGCTGAGAATGTTCATCTCCACAGGCAGACAGCAGCAGTGAGCCGCCCTTGTCCTTCCCAAGCTGTTCTAACTTGTCTCTAACAGGTCTCCAAGAGCACAGTCAACCTGGACTGATTGTCATCCACAGCAGCACTGTGGCTGGGTCTGAAGCTGGTGCCAGCTGAGGTGCTTGGCAGAGATGCACAGGCTGCCGGGTTTTTTTGACTCTCCAAAGAGCTGCAGGGCCATGTGCTGACGTTGACACAGGCTGGCACTGTGCTTGGTGAGTTCAGAGGATGTTTTTACACAATTGGGGCTGGGAGGGCTTGAAGAGGGTTTCTTTATCTTCCTCTTTTTAAACAATAGATAACAGCAAAATCCATCCCCTGCCTCTTTTAAAGACAGCTCCTTTTCTTGATGGGTAGATAGATATAATGAGATTCTCAAACTCATAAATCTGCTGTGACTTTATTACCTGCATCTGTTGGAGATGATGTGAAGAGAACTTCATACAGAGAGGACTCTTGAAAGGTTACAAAGGGAACTAGCATTCTTCAGAAAATCTTCATCTACAGAAAACAGCCAAGAAAACCCATACAGAAAAAAGCACTTGAGCTGGATGAATAGGTGTCAGGGCTGAATGCAAGTGACACTGGCAACAGGGTATCTTGTTGTGAAAGCAGATGAAGCCAGTGCTCTGTGTGGGGTAGCTCTGGTGCAGGAGCCAGCCTGTGGCTGCCGTATACAGCCCTCAGCCCCAGCACTGGGTGTGCAAGGGGCTGATCGGCACCCCTAGGCTTGCACTCCCAAAACCCCTGTGCTGGCAAGAGGAAGGCACAAACAGTAGCTGAGCTGAAATGCGTTGTTGCTTTTTTATTTGCCCTCTGGTAGATGTGCCCCCATTTCAGTTCTGCCATGGGGTAGGGACACTGGTGAGAGGCAGACCCATGGCTGCTGGGCCTACCACAGTGGACAGCCCTGTGGGTGGGGTGATGGCACACCACAGCCTCACCACATCCCTATGGTGCTCCACTGTCCTTCTGGGCTCTCACAAGGTCACCAGTGGAACCAGTGATGTAGAAACTGGAAGCAGTGCAGGAAATGGGCACAGAAAGTAACTACTTGTTAAGCTGGTCAGTAAATCAGTGGGGATCTGTCTGGCTCCCAGGTGAGCTGGTGGCAGCTCTCTGCTTGTTGTGGAGCCCTGGTCCAGGGACTGGCAAAACCCTTGAAAGATCCCAGTCGCTCCTGAGCAGGGTGGGTATTTCTCAGGTGGGATAGGTACCTGCTCAGTGTGGCTGTGGCCAAGAGAGCTGCAGGAAAACGAGAATGTCCCAGCCTGCAGCTTGCCCCAGGACCAGTGGTGAGGGAGTTGTGATTGCCAGGCAGAGCACTGCAGTTAGTTAAAGTAGGCTGGAGACAGTGCTGGAAGGTGCTGCCTGCTCCCTGGGCACAACAAGCTGTAGTGAAAGGTCACATCTCCAGTGTGATGCAATGGTGTCTTCATGATGCCATAATGCAAGCTGGCACCTATTTTAGTGGCAGAGATTTAGGCTTAAACCTTCTACTCCCCATTGCAAGGGGGAGGATGTGCTTGCTGGCTTTCCTGCCCCTGGTAGCTTCTGCTCCCACTGACACTTCACCCTTGCTGAGACAGGGAGGCAATCCAGAAAGTAGAGCTGCAAGCAGGGAGAGAGCAGATGACATCTTTAAGCTGTGATCATTGAAGAATATTAACCACTCTTGGGCTTTGTCACTGCCAAAAAGTGATGCTTGAGCAACGTGGCGCCAGGAATCCTGAAGTCACTTTTGTAGCCTTGGAAAATGCAGCTGCTTTGGGATTTCAGCCCAAGACGGCTGTTATTATCCACTGTGCAGAATGAAGCTTCTGTTGGGAACTTCTACAAAGGCCATCAGTCTTCCCAAATAGTGGTTGTTTTTATCACCTGGCAGTAATGATACTCTCTGGTCCCTTTAATATCCGAGTGTGTTCCCAAAGTGAGACCGGGAAACTCATTTAGGGCTCACCCCCTCCGAGGGAAACAGCTTACAATTTTCTACCAGGTAGCCATTCCGTTGTGAGAATGGGTATGGCTCACCTAATAAAAACCTTGCTGACAGACACGACCTCCTGGAGGTTTATCTAAGTCGTTTGTTGCAGAGCAGAGCAACATATATCAGGGTTGAAATAGGTGCCAAGCAGCAATCCTAATGCACACAGTGTCTCTGCTGTAATTGATTCTCAGGCAGGACAAATACCCGGTGGAGAGTGCAAGGGGCCCTGCCTACCCTCCCAGCTAAAACGTTATAACGTTGTGTGAAATAGTATTGCTGAAGCCCGTGGCTAAAATCCAGCTTGTGGGCTGGCTGGCTGGCTGTAAAACTGCATCACCAAAATATTCCCAGCCCTGCTTGCATTGGCTGGGGCATTTGGGGGTCCAGTTCAGAAGGAAACATATTAAAAATGGATCAAAAGTAATGATTCTTGCCAATAATGTGTGTGCAGCATTGCATGTTACATTGACTTTCATTTTTTGGCTAATGCTGTTTTATTGTTCCTCCAGGTAAATGTTCAGTGAGGAAAGGCCTTATCCAGTTCCTTGTTTTCGGTCAGTAAATGCCATGGATGATGTGGGTGGGAGGCTGCTGTCTGCCATCTGGGACTCTCTAGAGACAAGGTGAGTGATGGCAGTGACGACACCTAAAACCATAGGGAATTGTGAATTTTAGGGATGTCTAAAGTTGATGGGGATGGCTTGGTGTGACAGTGTGGTGTAAAGCAGATGGTGGCTCTGGGAACACCCAAATTCCCTGCACCAGGAAAGGGCCCTGAATTTTGTTGCTTGTATGGCATCTCATCCATACACATGGGGTCAGCTGTGGTACTGCCTCTCCATTGCTCAGGGACTAGGGAACTTGGGGTGGAGAGGTCCCTGGAGAGGTGTGAAACTTCACCTGACACCCCTGAGCAGCCTGCCCAAAAATACAGGCTGGCTGGGGGAGCAGGCAGCAGAGAAAAGCTGCCGTATCCTGCAAGCTTCTTAATTTCATCAGCTGCACAGCGCTGCTTTGCCACGCATCCCCCCCACATGGGATCAGGTGGTATTAGAGACTTGATCCTTGGGAAGGGCTGGGGGAATGTCTTATGGTGCGAAACCAGAGGAGCTCAGCCTGTTTAGCTTATTAAAAAGAAGATCAAGAGGTGACTTAATTGTGCTGTGTGAGGTACCTTCATGGGGAGAGAAAGGCAGGTATTAAAAGACTGTTTAATCTAGAGGAGAAAGGCATCGCATGAGCCCACGCCTGGAAGCTGAAGCCAGACAAATTCAAATTGTGAATCAAACAGACCTTTTAAAAGGCAAGTGTTAATAAAGATTAAACTACCCAGGAGAGCGGCGCATTCCCTTGCCTTTGATATATTTAGACCCAGACAGGATGCATTTCTGCCCCATACACTTGAGCCAGGCAGGAGTTACCGGGCTTGGTACAGGAGTAATTGGATGCCAGACTCAGCCCTGCATCAGGGAAGGGTCAGGCGAGATGATCTAATGGTCTCTGCCGGCCGTCAGTGCTCCCATGCCTGGCGTCTGTGATTTGTGTGCCTGTGGCCAGCCAGCTGGCAGGGATGTGGCTCTACCAAGAAAAATTGGTGGGGGAACACAAGGAACGTGGTACTGTGTCAGAAGGGACAACAAGAAGACAAGTGAAGAGTGACATGTATGGGGACAGTCAAAATATTAGAAAGGAAAGGCTTTTACCCAGAAAATGTCTTTTTATTTTAAAAACAGATTAACCCCGTGAACATTAGCAGACACGTAAATTTTTTGTGCTTATCTACCCCTACTTTTTAGCACAATTCATTAAAAATAAAATCATTCCTCAAGTTCTATGTGGAACAGAAAATCAAGGTTTCCGTAGGAAAACCTAATTTTGGGAAAGACAAAGACAAGTCATATCCCAATTTCTTGTAAGTAGGGTAGAGTGAAATGATGCCTGAAAACCTCAGTGAGACCCAGGAGTGGCTCAGGAACCACTGCTCACTTGAAGTATGTTCTGAACTTATTTTCCTCTTTATTTTTATCATCTACTCCTGAGGGCTGGCTGGTGAATATGGCTGCAGAGAGGAGCTGCTTTGGGATGTCCCTCGTTGTTTTTTAATAATTGCGATTGGGCAGAGCTCATCTCCTACTCAGTGCCCCGAGTCACTGTCCTGGCCCTGTGGGACAGCATGCCCGGAGGAGGATTCTGAGATGTAGCACAGAAGTGTAGGGGGATTCACTGAGCCTCAGATGCTCCCAGGCTGAGCAATGGGCTCCTTCAGCAAAGGATGGAGCCTGCAGAGGGCTCTTGCTGAGAAGTTGTTGTTCAAGGTGCTTTTCATAATATTTAAAAAATGTGTTTGCTTCCTCTTGCAAATGTTCAAACATCTTTAAAGTGTCTGTGGTGCCAAGCTGCTTCTCGCCCTGTTTTAAGAGAAATAAGCTTTCTTTATGAAAAAGGAGCCACAAAAAGCGCAGCAAGCCCAAAGTTAACAGTGAGCAGACCGAAACTAAATTAACACCAGCAAGATTTCAGCTGCCCCTCCAAAATATTGTGTCTCACGGCAAAGGGTCTGGGAAAAGATGGGAGAACAGATTGCTTTAGCGCATCTTCATGGTGTCTCTGCGGCACAGATGAAGCTCAGGCTGGGTCTCCTTCCCCTTGCCAAGCCTGCAATGGGGACTCACAGCTCCCAAAAGTGGACAGTCGGAGGCACAGGCTCGATGGTGCCATGAAAACCCATGGGTGCAGCACCACAAAGGGATGCAACTCCGAACACTGTAGCCAGATAGTTTAGAGAAGCATCACCTGCAAAATCAGACCATGAGCCCAAAAAAGGAGCAGTGAGCAGGAGGTAAGGGACAGGGAGGGAGAGCCTTGCCTTCTCCACTGCCATAAAGGTGGAGGCGAGACAATGGGAGTGTTAGCCACTGGCCACAGTGTTACAGCTCCATGTGGATTACGTTGGCCAGCTTCAGTCATGAAAATAGGCAGCTAACAGTGAATTCGTCTTTGTAACAGAAAATAGTCAAAACAGCTTGAAAACTATTCATAACGAGAGCTCTGAGAACAGCCAATGCTACACAGACTGAGTGAATACTGTCATTAAGCGCTCTTTGGATGACAGTCCCAGCAGTTCATTATCCCCCATCACTGCATGGGGAGGGTGGTGGAGGAGAGAGAGGGGTGAGGGGTTTTTTAAATAATCCTTTTTTCCCTAAATTAATCCCCACTGTAATGCAGAGCACCAAAGAAGTGGTATAAAGGCAGCATCCTGCCTTGCCAATGCCCTCTGAGGCTGGAGCTTGAGGTTCTTGCAAGAACTGATGCCACTAAAACGCAATTCCAGCCTTGATTCTATTTAATTTGCTAATGGATTGTATTTATCTTCATGCTTTCTCTCTTTTTTATTTATTTAATTTTTTTTTTTAAGAAATGGTTTCTGGGTGTATTTTCTTCCTCTGAAAGTGCAAACAAAACTTTACTTTTAAGACTCTGGCTAACATTTCTGACTCACATTAGGCAGCAACTCCAACAGATGTCAGCTTCAGGCTCAACCCCCAGGTAACCTGTGGTTAGTGAAGAGGTGCAGGATACCGAGCCTTGTATGGGCACAAGGCTGGCAGCGCTGTTTGCATGTTTGCAGACTGAGCCAAAGTGTATCCTGCCTAGGCTAGATGGGGACATCAACTGATGGTGTTTTATAATTAGCCTCCTTGTTTGAAGAAGTGGTTTGTTTTTGTCAGGGACAAGGTTATGATGCAGAGTGGGTCTCCTGACCAGAGGTTTTTAGGATGTGAATATCCCCATATGCCCAGAGGAGACCTCTGTGCTCTTGCCTGGTTGTAAGAGCCCAGCACCCTACCACTGCCATCCAAACTCACCAGAGCATCTCTTGGACATCAGGAGGAACACAGAAAACAGGGCTTGTTAAAACTTGTGCAAATATTTCCCTAGCCTGCCAGGTCACCTGGGCAGCTGTGACGAGTCACCGTAGTTAATGCTATAGCTTCCTTCACTTCATCAGCATTATCTCCCCTTCATCTCCAGTATCTAGGGAAAGCATAATCATTTATTCCCGAGTCAGAATGCCGAATCTCTTCAATTCCAGCAACATTGGTGCGTTCACAACCTTGTCATTGTCCTGAAGCTGATAACCTCAGGTACAGATGTTAATTTTTTAAGTCATTGAGCAATGTCCTGTTTGCAGCACCAGAACTACCAGATATCCTGGTACAAGCAGCTCTTTCCATCCTCCCAAATCACTTGCCAAACCCTCCACCATTTGACCCAGCCTCACTCTCCTCCTCAGCCCTTGAAACAGATCCCGGTTTAGAGCTGCTCAGCTGCAGGTCCTGTTACAGCCCCCTCCTCATGTGCTGCAGTCTAGCATCACTGCTAGGGACTGCAGATCGCTGCTGGAATGGTTTTATTGTGACACCCAAAGCAGTACACTGCTTGTTCCCAAGTGTGGCACTGCTCTGGTTTAATGAGCTTTGGAGATGATATTGGCAGCACAGCCCTGGCTGTTTGATGGTGGTCAGTGGGGCTAATTAATCCTCTGTGTGCCCAGAGCCCCGTGCCTGCCTGTGGCCTTGGCTGGGGCAATGCCAACAGCACAGCTGGGCTGCAGCTGAGATGTGAAACTGCCTTAAAGGGGCCAGCTCTTGCCCACCTCTTCCTCTTGAATTGAGGCTAACATTGTTTCTAATCTCAAAGTCCAACTTCTTCCTTTGGAAAAAAAAAAGAATAAAAAGACAATTTTATAAAAAGACAAAGCATCCAAGTGGGACTCTGTGACTTGCTCCATGATGCCACCAGGCCCAGATTAGGATGCTCCTTGCTTGTAGCTGTGTCTGCACCTGGCCTCCACAGAGCTGGCAGTGACAAGGTTAGCACTCCTCGTCCCAGGGAGATGGGCCAATGTGTTTTGCACCACATCCCTCCTTGAATCTCCAAGGCACACAGACCCACGGGGGTTAACTGTGCTGCCACCTTTGCTTTTGGACACTTCAGCATGTTTCCCCCATGTTTCTTCCAGCCCTTTGGAGTGTGTTGCTGCTGAAGCTGGAAGGAGCTGCTTGAATGGCATTGATGTGGTCTTGTATTTGAAATTGAGAAAACCAAGAGTTACTTAGATAGCTTTCCCTTTCCAGGAGGAAAGTGTCATAGTTCTGATTTTAGCAAGGAATTTTCTTCCCTTCCCCCCCCCCCCGCCCAATCAGAGTCCCTTCACACTGTAGACGGGGACAAGGTCCCAGTGGTTCACATGAGAGGTATGTTAGGTAAAACAGTTTGGGTTAACCATGCCTCGAGCAAAGGCAAATCCATTCGTGGAGTTGTCTTTGCCCAAGGACCTGGTTGCACATGATGCAAGAAGATGGAGAAACCCGGTGCATACCTGAAGGAGATATCATCTTAGGGTAAACAGGCCATAACTCCGTATCTGTATTTGTACCTATATATTTGTGAATGTGTACGTGGTTTAGAATAATGTATGCATGTATGGAGTTCAAAAAAGATTCAATTTGATAGATGTATGGTGGCATGGGAAAGGAAAAAAAATTAGGGGTGGATAATGTCATAGTTCTGATTTTAGCAAGGAATTT